ATTCTTTTGTTTTAGGAAGCAGTTATTTCCATTATAAAATGTTAAAATAAATAGGTTTATTGTTATTTTTAAGTGAATGAATAGTGAAATAAATGGATAGTCAGTCTGTTTTAAATGAGAGGATACACAGTTTTAATTTCTAATATGAGAAAAAGCAATAATAGATGCAACCAACACAAAGGCTCTAAGGAGATCTTTGGCATTTGTTAAGAGAATAAATTCGAGAGTCTTTCAAGTATATGAAAGTAGCCTTCATGTCCTCCTTTGCATCTCGTCTTTTCTGGGACAAATTTCTCTCAAACCTCCAACAGGTCCTTACGTGACTCGGCAGCACACCCTCCGGCTAAACTTCAGTCTGTTGGTGGTGACTCAGAGCAGGCGCTCAGAGCAGGACACGCTGCCTGGAGGGCTGAGCCAGGGAACTGCCTCTCTCGCCCTAAATACTCTGGTTCCTTGAAAACATCCCAAGTTCCATGTGGGGGAGGCTTTGTCTCCTCATCAGCTCATCTCCTACTGAACTGGCAATTGCTCAGGTTCCCAGGGCTTTTTCTCACGTATTTCTAGAGAAGCAGGTCACCCCAACGCTGTCCTGGTGCAGCTGAGTTTTTGCACCCCACATAGAATATCACACTTAACTCTATTAAACCCTCCCTTAGTTTAGTAGGCTGCGGTCTTCCTGAATCTTAATTCTGTCACTGAATGTATTACCTAGCCTTCCATCATCAAATAGCCTTCCTTCTCTGTCATCCACCAAATTGATTAATACGCCACCTGTCTCCTCTCCAGTCACAGATAAAATTATACCACATGGGATGGAATCTCCTGAGCCCCACTAAATACCCCATCTGTGTTGGGGGCAATGCATTAACAGACACAGGCAGCTATGTACAGACCTAATAATAGGGCCATCAGCCTCAATATTTCATCCTCTCCTGCACAGGATTCTGAACTTAGGACCTGAGTGAGTCCTGCTTTCTCCTCTCACTATGCCTCTGCCCACAAATATAACTTGACATGTCCCCAGTTTAAGCCACCACCTCCATGGCAGGGGAACTGTTAATTAAAAAAAAAAAAAAATGTACTGAGACACTGTGCCATGTGTTAGAACTAAAAGATGACTCAAATGTTTTCAGATTCTAATATTCCGGGGCTGGAACGCCTGCCTTGGCAGGTCCCATACTCCCCACCTCCAGGCTCATCAGTGACATCACCGCCTCCCCCCACCCCCACAGGCATACCCTTTCCCCCGACCAGGACCCTCTGAGTCCACTCTGGCTGGCCTGGCTGCTCCTGCTGTGCCCCCAGTGGAGGGAGGGGTGGAGCGCTCAGGAAGGTCGGGGCTAGAACTCAGGGACTTTTCCTTGGAGCCATCCGAGGTAGCTTCACAGTACCCTGAGCTCTGATAAGCTTCACTGGCCTGGAAACCTAACCGCAGAGTTGATGTCGTTTCCCTGAGAAGAGGTTGCCAGCTCCCAAACAAACGTCCCATGCAGAGCTTTGGAGGGGAACCCATCTGTAAACGCAGGGCTGCGGATGTCTTGCTGGCCTGATGCCCATGCCCAGGACCTCTGACTGTCCCCAGCCTTCTCCAGTCACCCTCAAATGTGAAGCTGCAGGCACGAGGCCAGGCCCTGGGAGGGAGGTGTGCGGAGTCCCCTGGCTCCAGAGGCTGCTGCCCCTCAGACTGACGCCTCCTGCTAAAAACTGCAGTGGAAGCCCCTGGGGAGAAGTCGGGGGCTGAGGGGCCACCTGTGGGCCTGCCCCCTAAAACCTGAGAGCCCCAAGGGCCATCGTCATGACTGCCATTGGCTCCCAGGCTGGTGAACTCCAGATGTCCAGGGACCAGTAGGAGCCGTAACCAGTGCAAAGGTCTCCGTGGATTTTAAACCAGGGATGTTCTGGGCCCTCGTTCTTCATGGGACATTCCAGGCCTGGCTCCTCTGTAGTGCACCCCCCACCCCCAGAACTCTGAGATTCGGAAGCAGCAATGATGCCTCCCGTCATAAAGAGGTAGTGGATCTCACAGGTAGAGCCTACCGGCCCGGGTTTAACACTCTGCTCCGCCAGTCCCCGTGTGTCAGTTTTCTCACCTGTAAAGTGGGCTCATGGCTGTCCCTGACCCACAGGGTTATTCTGATGGAATGCTCACATGGGGCTTGGTCAGGGCGTGTTCAAGACCAACACCTCCCATAGACACTGACTGTATCTATAAGATGACGGAGCCAGGACTGTCACAAAAATATTTAGCTGTTTCTTTACAAGTGCCTTTTACCCTTTTCAGAGTGATTTTGTATATATTTGCCTTCATATGAAGTCTTCCCCACGTGGCTCAGTGGCGGAGAATCCAACCGTCAAGCAGAAGACCGGGGTTCGATCCCTGGGTTGGGAAGATCCCCGGAGGAGGAAATGGCAACCCACTCCAGTGTTCTTGCCTGGGAAATCTCATGAACAGAGGAGCCTGGTGGGCTATAGTTCATGGGGTCGCAAACAGTCGGACACGACCTAGCAACTGAACAACAGCAATCTTCATGTGAGGCGGGGCAGAACAAGTCCTTGTGCCCTCAGGTTTACACAGGAGAAAGCTGAGGGTCGGGGAAGGTGGGCAAGCCCCTCAGGCCCCCCGCTAGTTTTTGGTAGACTCGGGATAGTCTTCTGTTTGCCCCACACTGAGCCCTTGACCTCGACACCAGAACACAAACGTTCTCACAAATCTACTTCTCATCACCACCAAGCTCAAAGCACCAAGTCTGAGTGGTCCAAAAATATTTTTTCAGCCTTCAGCTTTTGGGTGAAAGTGATTTGGTTCAAACTTTTCCCAAACAAATTAAAGTGACACAGATAGAGGACAGGCCTCCAGGACAGAGTAAGAGACTTGGAAATCCTTCATGTCAGGTGAAAGAGGAGAGTGAAAAAGCTGACTTAAAAGTCAACATTCAAAAAACTAAGATCATAGCATCCAGTCCCATCGCTTCATTACTTCATGTCAGAAAATTGTTCATCTCCTACTAAAGTAATAGAGCACCCGACATTCTAATCTTCCCTCACACCCAAGGGTGCTGAAAGCCTTAGACAATAACTGAGTGTCACCAGCACGTTTTTTCTTTTTGTTTTTTTTAAGGAAAAGGGCAAAGTGCATAGTTTTGCCGGTAGGTGGCGATAGAGTAATGAGGCTAAAGAACCTGAATACTTAAACCTATAGATCATAAATATTGTGAACTTGGAGATCATCCCACCCAAAGTGCTAATATCACTCAAAAAGAAATTGCAGTTCATGGAGGGTATGTGACTTGCACAAGGTCTTACACCTGGTTAATGGCTGAGTCAAATTAAACTCACTTTTCATCATGAACCCAGAATCTACAAGAGCACAGACTTGCCTTTCACAATAGCCTGGCATCGCTGAATCATGTAAAGGAGAATATCACTTCATCTGAGTGTGCTAATTGAAGTGTGCTGGAAAGCTGATGGCCTTTAAGAAATGAAACCGTTGGTTACGCTCTCAGCCTTGTGAGCTGAAGGTGGGGGCAGGGGGTGGGAAGGAGGAGAATAGCCATGTGGGTGTCCTTATGAGGCTTCCTAACATGTTTTGCTGCCCGTAAGTCCCTTCCAGATACACTCCCCCCAAAATATCAGGGACTATTGGATAAGAATGTTCATTTCCTGACCACCCCTGATACTGCAGGCACTGGTGTGCAGTGAAGGGCATTTGCTGCTTTGATCCATTCTGCTTCAGGCACGTGGGGAGAAGCAGAGCCTCAGGAAATGAGGGGACTGTCTACTCCCTGAAGGAGCCAGATTTGTTCTGTGTGGTCCCAAGGAAAGAAATACAAATAGATGGGTGAGGCAAATGTGCCCAGAATGATAATGGGCATGTTTTGGGTGCATATTAAGGGTGATGGGCTTCCCTGATGGCTCAGCAGTAAAGAAACTGCCTGCAATGCAGGAGATGCGAGTTTGATCCCTGGCTCAGGAAGATCCATGCAGGAGGAAATGGCAACCCACTCCAGCATTCTTGCCTGGAAAATTCCATGGACAGAGGATCCTGGCAGTCTATAGTCCATAGGGTCACAAAGAATGGACACGACTGAGTACACACACGTGATTAAGTGTGATGAAGGACAGATGGATGGATGGTGGATAAAGGTTTCAGATTGGCATAAGGAAAAGTTTTCTCAAAGTCTCAACAGTCCAAGAAGAAATGCTCTATTTTTGTTGTTGCTGAAGTAATGAGTTTACTGTCTCTGGAGGTATTAAAGCACCTGCCAGCCACTCACTTGGTAGAGATATTATTGAAGCAGGTTAGTGGGTTGCATTGGAACAATAGACTGGTTCAAAATTGGGAAAGGAGTACATCAAAGCTTTTGAGAGTCCCTTGGACTGCAAGGAGATCCAACCAGTCCATCCTAAAGGAAATCAGTCCTGAATATTCATTGGAGGGGCTGATGCTGAAGCTCCAATACTTTGGTCACCTGATGCGAAGAGCCTACCTATTGGAAAAAGATCCTGATGCTGGAAAAGATCGCCGGCAGGAGGAGAAGGGGATGGCAAAGGATGAGATGGCTGGATGGCTTCATTGACTCAATGGACATGAGTTTGAGCAAGCTCCAGGGGATGGTGAAGGACAGGGAAGCCTGGGGTGCTGTAGTCCATGGGGTCACAAAGAGTTGGACACGACTGAGCGACTGAACAACAATGGGGGTTTCTTTGAATTTGCATGAGCTTTTAGTTCCCCTTGAATTTCAGGACTGCTATTATTCCATGGTTATTGGCGCATAGTGAAAGGAAGAAAAGAGTAAAGATATTTTTGCCTCTGACTTTAAGAACTTTAAATAAGAAAATCACACAGATTTCAGGTTGCTTCATCCCAAAGTCTGGTCTTGGGTTTCTTTACTGAGCTTTCTGCCATAATTAGAAAATGTCATCAGCCTAGCAGTTCACTTGAGGGCTTCTGCTGGTTCCATCTAACTAATGAGTTTGTTTTTTTCTTTAATTCTGAAAACCAGGGGAACCTGCCTTGTGGAAACCTGAATCGGTCCTTCTCGATGCAGGTAATAATATACAGCCCATCCTTCTGGCCATGACTAGATCGAGATTCTCAGGATTATAGCAGATGGCAGAGGGGTCAAGCTCTGCGACAGAAGACTCCTCTGGTGTCACCGCCAATGTTAGATGTCTGGTGGCCAGGCAAAGGGCCCCCTGAAACCCCCACGGGGAGGACTGGGTCAGGGATAAGACTGGATTCACAGAGAGGGGAGGAAATGTGAAGACGGGAGGCAGTGAGTTCCCAGCCCCCAAAATGGGTTAGACCCTCACTTAACTTCCTTCTATTTCTTCTTCCTTCTTTGCAAATGGGATTCAGGTTTTTTCTTCACATGAATGAATGTTGTTCCCTATTTGCTACATTAAGTGTTTAAAGCTCCAACAGCAAACAGTCTTCCGACTCGGTGCAAGGGGAGATTTTGCTGGTTTGGGGGCAGGGGGGTATGGAGGAGAGGACTCGGGCCTCTGGACGTGTATTTCTTCCCCTCCCAGGACTCCTGGCTGAGAAATGCCATTAGTGAATTTTTTAAATGATTTGAGGAAGTGGGATGAGCAAGCTGACCTTTAATGGGAAGATGAAATCATGTGCTTTGCAAATTGGAAAAACTAACAAAGCCAGCAGAAAGCTCACCCCAGCCAAGAGTGGAGTCCTGAGCACCTTCCTCCATGGAGGTGGGGGACTCTTGGCGGGCGTTCCCCAGCATCCCAGAAACAGGAGACTCACTTCCGGTGCTGCACTTACACTCTGCCCAGAAACTCATTGGCCTTTCTAAGCCTTAAAAGACTATTGTCTTTACTTCCTTATATATTTGTGACTGTGGCTCCCCGGTAAACAGCTCTAAAGAAAACCCTGAAGCCGAAATTCCGCTCACAAACACACACACCCTCTCAAAGCACTAAGTCCTTTTCTATGTGCATCTGTTCTCAGACTGCAGGAGGGGACAGGCTGCAGCGTAGACCCTCTTGTTTGTTGGAGCTGCCAGTATCTCCTCTCTTCTCCGGTCTACACCCAACCCTGTCCTTGGTCTCACTCATCTTTGTTCATCAACTCAGTCACTGAATATTGACTGAGGGCCACAGGGAAGGTTTATGCGATGGGTGAGACTCAACCCCGACCTCAAGATTTTCAGAATTGTTTGAAGGGATAATTTACACTGGCAAAGTGCTTCATGCTTTCAGATAAGGAGGCTAAAGCTCAGATAGATTAAGCTAAGGGGCTGTAGGGGACAGATCTGAACTCACCTGACTTCAAATGCCCCTAAGCACCCAGAGGAGTGCTGTGTCTCTATTGCACTGTCCGTAAATATTCATTCCTTCTTATCTCCTCAGATGGGGGTGGTATGGAGAAGAGCACAGTTAGCAGTAAGCCCAGCCCCTGGAACTGAGTGTGAATATCCATTTTGTCCCCATCCCTGGGGTGAGGCCAGATGCTTCCTGTTCTTGTAAGTCACCAAAAGTTTTACTGCTCTTTCCAGGATTTGTTCCAAAAGAAGAATTAAGCACACAGTCTTTGGAGCCAGCATCCCAGGGAGATCCAAGTAAGTTAATTGACAACTAGAAACCCCTAGTGGCTTTGACATCTGATCTGCTCTCTCTCCCCTCTGCCCACTCAGTCCCACCCACACCCGCCTCTCTCCTACCCTGGATCTATTTATCTCTCTTCTGTCACTTTGTTCTAAAGGAAAAGGGAAGCTTCTGAAGGATTTAAACTATCTGTGTGCAAGAGGGGGAGAGGATCAGATGTTTAAAATGTCACTATGGCAACAGGGTGGGTGGAATGGGGAGACAAGAGTGGATGAAAGGAGACCGGCTTGCCAGTGAGGATGGAGGTCTGCAGAGATGATGGTACCGAGCTAGGGTGGGAAGCATAAATGGAGAGAAATGGGCAAATCCAAGAGACAGAGAAATAAGAAGCTAGAGGGGTGGAGGCGAAGACAGGGAGCAATTAAAGATGAGCTGGAGCTCATGGCAACTGGAGCCACCATGAGGATCACTGGAGTTGGAACAGGTTGGGGCAGGAAAGCATTTCTATCTATCATCTTCTATAAGACATTCAGTCTAGCAGAGAGTTGGCTACCCTGACATACAGAAACAACAGTCCAGCTGAAAATTTAGAGTTGGAAGATGATGAGGGCAAAACCAAGGTTTTGAGAACCGAAAGTGTGACCCAGGGAGACAGGTTACAGTAAGAAGAAACAGGGGACTTAAACCTGAAGATCTTTGATACTGACTGGGTGGAAGAGAAACCACCCAAGGATACAAGAAAGAAAGCAGAGACAAAGAGGGAAACCAGGAGGCAGCTGTGTGTTGCAAGCATCTGCAAATTCCCCCAGAATGCTGTGACAAGTCAGCCACCAATGGGCTGAGAGTCTCAACTCAGCTATATGTGAGAATCACCTGCAGACATCTTCAAAAATGAAAGATACCAATTCTTGCCTCATACCTACTGAACCTGTCTCCCTTGATTTTGCCACTCAGAGTGTGGTCTGAGGACCAGCAGCATCAGGCATCACCTGGGAGCTTGTTAGAAATGCACACTCTCAGGGTCCACCCCAGACCTACTGAATCAAGCAATTCCTTTGCACATTAACCCTTGAGAAGCACCACCTAGAGTGATTCTCAGTCATCTTTATTTGTTGAAGCTGCATAAGCAACTCAGATATTTATCCAGGGTTAAAAAACACTGGCCTAATATATTGGTCAACACAAAGCTTTCATCTATAAAATAGCACCACGTTGAAGAAAACCAAAGCAATTAAGAAAATTGGTAGATTGATTCCTGCAGACACTCTGTCTTACCTTTCCTTCCTCCTCTTCCATCCTCAGTGAGCATAATAAATCGCTCATGCTGAACACTTCATAACCCAGTTCTGTCCCTTTGTATTGACACTGTCATCTTCACATCAGCATGTTTTCATCTTAATGTGAGAAAGCCACTAAGGTCTCAGTGAGCACATGCCCCGAGCATGAGCCATTGTCATTCAAACATTCTGGGATACAAATCAAACTACAATGAGGTATCATCTTATACTCATCAGAATGGCCATCATAAAAAAATCTACAATCAATAAATGCTGGAGAGGGTGTAGAAAAAACGGAACCCTCCTGCACTGCTGGGAATGTAAATTGATACAGCCACTAAGGAAAACAGTATGGAGGTGCCTTTAAAAACTAAACATAGGACTAACATATGACCAAGCAATCCTACTCCTGGGCATATATCTAGAGAAAACCATAATTGAAACAGATACATGCACCCCAGTGTCCATTGCAGTGCTATTTACAATAGCCAGGACACAGAAGCAACCTAAATCTCCATCAACAAAGGAATGGATAAAGAAGCTATAGTACATATATGCAATGGAATATCACTCAGCCATAAAAAGGAATGAAACTGTGCCATTTGCAGAGACGTGGATGGACACAAAGACAGTCATACAGAGTGAAGTCAGGAAAACAAATATATTAATGCATATATATGCAATCTAGAAAAATGGTATAGATCATCTTATTTGCAAAGCAGAAATAGAGACACAGACATATTGGAATTGACATATACAGATTATTGATACTATGTATTAAGTTGATAACTAATGAGCACCTGCTGTATAGTGCAGGGAATTCACTGCTTTGTGGTGACCTAAATGGGAAGGAAATCCAAAAAGAGGGGATATATGCAAATATATTGCTGATTCACTTTGCTGTTAGCAGAAACTAACACAACATTGTAAAGCAACTGTATTCCAATAAAAATGAATTTTAAAAAATTATTGGAAAAGAGGAGTAAAGTTAACCCATTTCAGCCATTATGCTGAGTGAAGAGAACGGGGTAAATAGATAAACATTTCACTTCTTAAAACCTGTGAAATCAATTTATCAATCCTGAACATAGCTCAAGATGTAAGAAATAAGGAGAAAAAAATGGTCTAGGAAGAACCAAAATAGATGCTACAAAATCCATGTACTCTTGTTTGGCCCTTACTCTAATTAAGTTTTTCTTTTCTCTAAATTTAAAAAAAAAAAAAAAAAAGGATTTTCATTTTAAAAGGCATATTGAACTACGCTGCTGACATCTGAAAGAAAAACTTCTCTTCAGGAGTGCTTCTCAAACTTTTTAATGTGCACATCAGTAACCTGGGGATCTTGCTAAACTGGGATCTGATTCTACATGTCCAGGTGGAGCCCGGGCGTCCGCATTTCCACCCCGCATTCTGTTGGTGCCGGTCGGCGGCAAGCCCCAAAGAGCACCACTGCCACCTGCTGGCGGCAATTCACATCACAAGCCTGGACCTAGGAAAGAGCAGGAATAGCCCTGTTTGGGAAACACGCCAAGCCATAGAGTAGTTTCGCTGTTCTTTTGCTTGATTCTTGACTTTCAGACAGTTCAGTTCAGTCGCTAAGTTGTGGCCGACTCGTTGCGACCCCATGGACTGCAGCATGCCAGGCTTCCCTGTCCATCACCAACTCCCGGAGCTTACTTAAACTACTCTCCATCGAGTCAGTGATGCCATCCAACCATCTCATCCTCTGTCTTCCCCTTTGCCTCCTGCCTTCAATCTTTCCCAGCATCAGGGTCTTTTCCAATGAGTCAGTTCTTCACTTCAGGTGGTCAAAGCATTAGAACTTCAGCTTCAGCATCAGTCCTTCCAATGAACACCCAGGACTGATCTCCTTTAGGATGGACTGGTTGGATTTCCTTGCAGTCCAAGGGACTCTCAAGAGTCTTCTCCAACACCACAGTTCAAAAGCATCAATTCTTTGGTGCTCAGCTTTCTTTGTAGTCCAACTCTCACATCCATACATGACTGCTGGAAAAAGCATAGCTTTAACTAGACGGACCTTTGTTGGCAAAGTAATGTCTCTGCTTTTTAATATGCT